TGCCAAGAGCCGGGTTGCGCCCCTGCAAAAGCTCCCCCAGCGGTGGCCTGAGGAGCCCCGGCAGGGTGATGGTCTCTGGGGCAGCACGAGACCCAGCCTCGGGCCGCTCACCCTGCGTCAGCCCCCTCAGCGACACGTCCCGTGCTGCGCTCGGCCCTAGATCAAGAAGACCTGCAAGGTCCCGGACTTCCCACCCAGGCGGGTCCCCAACTGGATGCCCAAAGTGCTGGAGCAGCGCCGGCAGGGTCTGGAGCTTTACATCCGGGTAAGGTGCCTCCCTGCAGCTTGTGGGGTGGGGGGGAGCACCCTGGGGTGCCACCCCTCTCCCACCTCCCCTGCTGTGTGTGCACTTGGTTCAGGGTGTCCTCTACCACAACGAGGAGCTTCCCCAGGAGGTGTTGGATTTCCTGAAGGTGCGGCATTTCCAGCAGGACCCCAAGGCCAGCAGCCCGGCGTGAGTACGCAGGGGCTGGAGCCCTGGCCCGAGAGGCTGACGGCTCTGACACACCTGCTTTGCCCTGCGCGGTGCACAGGGGAGGCTGCATGGCCACGATTGACCTGCTCCCTCTTGTGGCGCGGTGTAAAGCACCCCGGGCCTGCCCGAGGCAGAGGAGGGACCCATGGGGGCACGGTCCCTGGAGCTCAGCTCTCAGCTAGGGCACAGGCAACTTGCAGCAGCTCTCCTCATAACAAGCCACTGACTTGCTCCGCTTCCTTGCAGCTCCTCCAGCCACTTCTCCACAGAGGTGAGCAGGTAGGTTGCTGCCTGGGCTGGGTTGAAGGGCTGTTGTGCTGGGCAGGAGGGGGCTGGGGGAACCCGCTGCTGAGAGTTCCCTCAGCTGGAGCAGCAAGGGGCCCCTGCTGCGAGGGGCTTCGTGTGACAATGAGACCCTCACCTGGTGCTCACCCATCTCCTGTTGCTGCAGCTCTGGCTGCCTGCCTTCCCAGCGGCCAGTGATGAGTTTCTGCAGAGACCCCTACGTGCGGCCACCGCCCACAGGTAAGGAGTGGGGCCATGAGTTGCAGCCGCCTATTCCCCTTGTAGCTGGGCAGGGCAGGTGGGATGTTTGTTTCCCCCGAGTCTTGCTCCAGCTTTGCTTTCCACGTGCCCCTGGGAGTCAAAGCAATGCAGGGCCCAGCGCTCCAGGTACAGCTCTGTTCCCCCGGGAGGCTTTGTCTGGCCACCCCAGGCCAAGCAATCTTGCGGCGGAAAGAACGCTCTCACTTCAGCTTGCTCTGCTCGAGCTCACTCCTTTCCTTCTGCGTTGCAGACCTGCTTCCTGACGTGGTCCTGAGCGGCGTGCTGCAAGGACTCTATGTCCCGGAGAGCTGCTCCTCTCGCAAGGCAGTGCCACGGGGCCTTGGCCAGCCGGGCTCCTGAGCGTGCACGCAAACAGCACCCGCTGCCTCCCTGCTGCCGTTAAGGGTAGGCCTGCTCTGTGGGGGGAGGCCCTCCCAGCTCACTGGATGGGTCTTCTGGGCCTCAGGGGAAGGGATACAGTGGGGGGGCCCTGGCCCCACTTGTCATGCTGGAAACTGTGTAAAGCACTTGTGTGTGCGGCAGCTGTAGTGGCCAGCCAGGCCTGCTGGGAAGGCTCACAGCAGTAAAACACTCCAGGACAGGGAGCTAGAAAGCAACATGGGCTGCTCTCAGACAGGAAAATTGGGGGGGTGTAAGAAGCCAAGTGGTACAGCAGGAGCCACAGCTGCTCTCCAGAGCAGAGCTGGCTTGTGTCTGCTCAAACCATGGCAACTCAAGCCCTCACGTGCCTTAGTTTTAAGCACAGGCATTCCGCCTTTTGCACTAATGTTTTGGGTTTGTGGGAGGAGCCTTTGCACTCTGAACTGTACTGGGAAAAACCTCTCAGCATCTAGGTTTCTGGTGCTTGGGAGACTGCGCAATAAATCACTCAGGCTTGACTGGCAGATGACTGCTGTGCTCTGTAGTTCTACAAAGCAAATCTAAGGCCCACTGCAGCTCCGCTCTCAGTTTAAGGAAACATGAAAGAAGGGGGAAGAGGGCTGGCTGCAGCAAAGCGCTCTCATGGGGAAGCTATTTTGTGTAACGACCCCTTCAAACACAGCTAGGAGGAGGTAGCAGTCTCCCCACCTGTGTGCACCTCTCCTCCTGCTCTCTGACAGTCCCCTGCCCCAGGGGCACTCAGGGGAATTAGCATGACCAGGGTCTCTAAAGAGCTCCCAAAGATGCCCTGCTAGGCCTTAACCAGCCCGAGGGATGTGTAAGCGGTATTGCTGCTGGATGGATGCCAGGCTCAGGCAATCCCCAGCCCTCAGAAAGCAGGAGAGAGGCAACTCTCTAAAAAACACATTGGTCACATTTATTGGTGCATGTGCTTCTTACAAAAGTGATGGGAAGAGGAGCCAGCGCCCCGTCCTGCCTGCCGGCCAGCTGGAATGCAGTAGGGGTGAATGAGGAGGCCTGGGCAGCGGAGGCGGGTGCGTGGGGCACAGCGGCTCAGCTGCTGCTCACCTGCCCAAGGACGGTGCCAGGGAGGCAGGGAAACGCACGGGGGGAGGAGAGCGGGGCAGCCCCAGGCCTGCAGCCCTTTGCAGCTGGACCTCTGCAGCGCAGAGCCCTGCTGTTTCGCTGAGCCAGGACGATGGTTTATTCTTTGGCAATGGCAAATGGCTTCTCTACCTCTATGGTGCCGCAGTCAGCGATGGTGACGTCTTTCAGGGGCTTGTCCCGGCTGTCTGTCTTGGTGTTCTCCACCTTCCTCACCACGTCCTGGGGAAAACACGTGCGTGAGACTAGGGTAATGCTGGGCGCTGCGCTGGCCACCCAGGCAGAAGCCAGCTCAGAGCAGGCGCAATCCCCATCCCATTCTCCCAAGCGCTCTGTCCCCAACCAGCCTGCTTGTGCAACATCTGTTTGGTACTGTGCCACCCCTGACAAATGATTAACCCCTCTTACCATGCCCTCCAGCACTTTGCCAAACACCACGTGCTTGCCATCCAGCCATGGCGTCTTCACTGTGGTGATGAAGAACTGGGAACCATTGGTGTCCTTGCCAGCGTTGGCCATGCTCACCCAGCCAGGGCCGTAGTGTTTCAGCTTGAAGTTCTCATCAGGGAAGCGGTCCCCATAGATACTCTTCCCTAAGGGGGGGAAAAAAAAAAAAAAAAGTTGTGCTGCATTCATGGAATTAAGTCAGGATAGGAGGGGAGAGCGATGAGGTGGCTGCCAGGGCAGGCAGCTCTGTCCACAGGCTCAGTGGGGTGTAGCGGTGCATCTGGGGATGGACTAATTACAGCATCACAAGGCTGCAGAAAACCATGAGCGTCCTGCCACTGGGAAATAGCCAAGAGCAGCTCACAAGCTGGGCAGGAGGAAATATGCCCCTGTAAACCCCCAAATGACCTGAGCAGAAGGCTGTATTAGAGCAGACCTGGGCCAGGCCTGCGAAGGCACCTGGGCCAAGGACAGGTCCTGCTCTGGGAAGAAGCAGGACACAGGGCAGCACAGACCTGACCTTGTATTGCCGTGAGCTGCAGTGTGATAAGGAGCAGGTCTGACAAGAGTAAGCAACTCTCTAACATTGATACTGTCGACTTCGCTAACGTTTGCTAAGCGCTGGTAGAAGGCTTGCACTCCTGGCAACCAGGACACCCAGCAGCGGGACAAGCTTCTGCAAAGGAGACCTTTCCCAGTGGGAGACAACAAGGAGCTCCAGCTCCCATGATGCCTCCCGGGGCAGGGGCATGGCTTCTTTGGCCCCAAGCTACAGCATGCTCAGCACACTCAGGGACTGAGCCTAGCTCCGTCCGTCCCTCCTCAACACTGAGGTCTCTACAAGCCACATGCTGGCCCCACCGCGGCATCATGCTCTAACTCCACACTGGCCTCCCAGGGGAGCCCAGATAGCGGGTTAGGAATGTGGCCCCTCTCAACGGAGCAGCTGGATCCCCAGGCTGGTGCTGGCCAATTTACCTCCAGTGCCGTCTCCACGGGTGAAGTCTCCTCCCTGGATCATGAAGTCCTTGATCACACGATGGAACTTGCTGCCCTTAAACCCAAACCCTTTCTGAAGGGTCCGGGGAGGGGAGAGAAATGAATGAAACAAGGAGATAGACTAGGGCTCCAGCCTGTTCTGCCACAGGACGCGGAGGAAGAGCCTCTCAGCACGGTGGATAAGGGGTGGGGGGGAGGCAAGGCCAGGCATTTGGTGGCACCTCACCTCTCCAGTGGCCAGTGCAGCAAAGTTCTCCACCGTCTTGGGCACAGTTTTGCCAAAGAGCCCAATGACGACACGGCCCACATCCTCTTCACCAATGCGCAGATCAAAGAACACCTTCGGGGGGTTAAAAGAGGGTTAACACAGCTGGCCTGACCCCCCCCCTCACTGAGCCAAAACCAGCCTGGCCTGGCCCAGCTGGGCACATCAATCCCGCTCTGAGCTACTCCAACCTGGCCTACCATGGTCCAGCACAGTCCACCCAGCTGGGCCCCTCCTGACCGAACTTGGGCTAACCTGACCTGGTCTGGCCTAGTGAAGCACATCCATCCTGACCTAACGCTCAGACTGCCCCAGTAGACTGCCCCTGCTCGCAGACTGAGCCTACCAAATCAGGCCCTGATGCAACCAGGCCTACCCCTGCTGGCCCAACTGGGCCCATCCTGACCCACCTCAGCCCCAACTATCCAACCAGGCCCATCCAGACCCAGCCAGGCCCAGGCTAACCCAGCCTG